TGAAAGTAAATAAGAGCTTCTACAAAGAATATGAGGGATGGCATTGCTACTGTACTGCAGCCTGGACGCTGACCTCCGGGTGCTATCACGGGATGCATTCCTCGCCTAACAATATGCTGGGGTAGCCTGAGGTGTAAAGGATGTCAGGCGTGCCTATAATGCCTCTATGGTTTTTAATAAAATGAAATAATTTTAAGCTTAAGAATATGTACATTCATTCATACAGCGAATGTTGGCTTTCTGATTTTTTTTTCTCGTACTCATGTGAACTACAATAGAATTCCACTAATCTATGTCCAGATGTTCAAGATACTTTTTTGAATGTGCCAAATGATGTTGAATGCATATTATTTTCAATCAAAGGTTGTCTTGGGAATTACCTTTCAGGAGAAGAATATGTTCTAGGAAGCTTGTATAACCACTGTTTTTGGCCAGAGACTTAGAAATATTTAGAACTAAGTTGTATTTAAGAACAGTTGGCTAGTAACTCTTAAGTCATTGTGTGTACAAAGCATTAGGTGTTTAGTGTGAATGTATGTATAAATGATGATAGCAAACAGTTGCTTGCTCTTTTCTTTACAAGGTGCATGTTTGGGCTTTTCTTGAAGACCGAAAAGCAACAGAGCTGCTCCTCTAGTTGAAATAGTAGGCTGATGCTAAGAGATTTGTGCTTGTCTTCCCAGGGCGCTAACAAAAGGAGGTATTTGGTATGCTGCCATGGGGCAGCGTGTGGTACAGTGGTTAAAGGGGGGATAGCTGGAAGAATAGCTGAAGACTTGGCGGGGTGGAAACCACTTCAAAAGATGCTGAGAATGTTTCAAAGCCATTCTTTGGCTTGTTTTGTGGAGGTGCGGTCACCTTTTTTCATCAGTTAAACTATTGTTCTGACTCCCACAAACTAGAAAAAGAGAAGGGTAAGAATTCCAGAAAACTCCTCAGGATCTGAAATGTATAGTGGCATATAATGCAGCTGGCCTTACCACTGCAAAAACGCCTGATCTCTGATGCTCACAGGCTGGGCTTGGTTAGTACTTGTACGGGAAACCACTTGGGAATACCGGATGCTGTAGCCTCTGGCTAGCAAGAGTGGAGTCTCCATCCTTGCTGATATTAAAAATCTGGCTGAACAAGGCCCTGTGCAACCTTCAGTTCCTTCAGAGACATGTATTTCACCTTGTTTTGAGCAGGGAGGCTGGACTAGATGATCTCCAGAGGTCCCTTCCAACCTCAATCATTCTGTGATAGCATCCTCTTGAGACGAGATTAACATGACTTCACTGAGATTATACTTTTCGGATCATTTAATGCATTATGCCCTATGTGGAAGAACAAAAATTTTGTTAGAGATCATTAAAATGGATAGGGTAAGGAGGCTGTTGAGCAGCAAGCTCTAAGCCACCTTAGCACTGGGCAAACACTTTGTGCCTTCTCTTGAAATCTGGGGCTGCGTTGTCATGTGTGTAAGAGGTCTTTTCCTGTTTACCTTTATGGACTTCAACTGTGTACTGAACTGGTAAGCTCTACGATAGATCTAAAGTTGTCAGCTCTGTTTCTATAATGCTGTCGGTGAACACTGAATGTGTAAAGCCCTCTGTTTCTCCCTGGGAGACTAATGTAGGCAAGAAGCTGTGTATTGGGTGTGAGATTCATTTGGGAACAGTTTCTAGAGAGGATTGTTATGTTTGATTGGGAAGATAAATGACCTAATCAGTAATTGATTAATTTTTTTTTTTATTTTTGGTGACTTAAACATAAGATATTTTGGTTAATCTGAAACTGAATTTACTTATGCAATTATTAAAGTAACAGATGTACAAGAACAAACTGTCTTTAGATAAAAAAAGCTTATACAAGTTAGAGCTCACTTGGCTGTGCTTAAGAATAGAGCTGTGATCTGTGAAAGTACATTACTAAAGTACCTTGAATTTGTTCTCTTGATTTTTCAGCATTTTATATTCTATGTTTGAATTCCAGCATGTGGAAGACTTGCAGAGAAACTAGTGTTTAGCCTTCATACCTAAGGAGAGTGTGAACCCACAAGCTTACTTGGTTTGGGAATAAGTTGAAAGTCTTCTCACAGATAACCTTTTAAGATTTACTGGATTGCAAGAATGGGTTTCCCAGTAACTTGGCAGTAATTTTTTATTTACAGAGGCTAAAAAAGAGGGAACATGAGATTTGAGGTTTTCGTCTGGCTCTGTCTAGCCTTCTTCCTAAAGACAATCTCACGTTTTTGTTTTGTTGAGTTGCTCTGTGCAAAAAGGAATGGAATTCTTTCTTCCTCAGAATCTTCTGTGTATTAAAGGCTCTTAAATAATTCCAAGTAGATTGCATGTTTTAACCTCTGAGAAAGAAATGATGTGAAATAGGCTTGTAATGGGTAAATACTGTTGTCACTGAGTATAGCGTAGGTAGTTCTGGATAATGTGGGTTTGGTGGTCTTGGTAAAGGATTCAGCAAGGTGAGGGGTACCGGATCGTAAGGTTGGCTAGAATCAAAAGGAAAGAAATGGGAAGACACACACGTTCTTGGTTAGTGGTTTTTGTTGGGTTATTTTGTCAACTTCACAGATTATTTATACTTGTGCACTAATTAGTTTGGGGAGATTATGCAGATTTCCTACCTGTGACTGATCCTTGGATGCTCAGTAGTAGTATTGAACTAGAACAGATCAGAGATTAAGTTGATGCAAGAAACTGCTTTCTCATTCATCTTTACTTAGCAGTCCTGGAAAGCTGCATTGTCTTGCTATGAACAACTTCAACTTGTAATGTTGGCTCCTTGCTGTCATAAATTATTTAAAATTATATATTTTAACATTATTTAATAAGTGTGAAATGAGTAATATTAGAAGTGAGGCTGAATTTTGATCAATAACGTTGTTTAGGAATATGAAGCACGGACAGGAAGAATGTATAAACCTCCACCCCCATCAGCAAGACGTAAAAATATTGAATTTGAACCACTTTCAACTACCGCTTTGATTCTGGAGGATCGACCAGCGTAAGTATGATTCTGCTGTGGAACTGATGATGACTGAATTTGTCAGATATGCTTCTGATGAGCTGAACTTCCCAAGTCTTACACAGAAGTATCATTAGATTATTCCATCTCATATAATAGCCTAACAAATACCTCCAGAAGAACCTTTAAGTATATTATAGTCCATATGCGGAATTCTTTCTTGCTGTAGTGGGTCCACCAGTCTGTTATCTACTGTATATCATAGCTGCCTGTGACAGCGTTTTGGGCATCTGTAATCAGGAAAATTCCTGAAGACTTTTATGGATTTCTTCCTGCCATCTCGGTGTGCACTCCCTTCTCCTTCCCCCATTCTGGAAACTTAATTTCCTAGACCAGTCGGGAACAGTGGCAGTTGTTACTTCAGCAAACCTGGATTTGGCTTACCAGAATAGTCTTTTAAAAAAGTAAAAAAGAAAAAGCATTAGGTACGTAACAGCAGGAGTGGGGAGAATTGCCTTTGAAACACAAGAAATACCTTCCTGTCACAAATGCTGAATGCTCATCTTGTGTGTGGCAACTACAGTTAAATGCTTTGTTGGTAGCAAGATGCTGGTGTTCACTGATACTGTTCCTTGCCCTTGTTCAGTTATGTTTTCATGGCTCCTTAAAACTACAGCTGAAGGCAAAGAAACAGCAGACAAAGATTCAACAAAAACTGCATTAAGTGCAAATAAGGATAGTAATGAAAAATGGGTAATAAATTGGTCGATATTTCCAGCTACACATTCTTCAGCAATTTGAAGGAAAGAGGAGGACCTGCTGAGTAGGAACACAATGCTGTGAGGAAGGCAAATGGAGCAAAGCTTTCAGATTGCACCTTGAGAAAGTTTGTGGTGGCACTGTTAAATGTTTACTCTAATCAGTTCCAATTAGGAAATGGAAAATAGAACACACAGCGTTTCCTTCGATACTCTCTGTAATGGTATATAAGCTGCTTCAGTACTAAGACAAACATCCTGAATGGAGGTATCAATTGCTATGATTATTTTCTTGTAAACGCATTATTTCTTTTACTGTATGGTAGAGAGTAGGATATGCAGTAACTGGTTTGCTAATGCTTTTCTGTACTTTCCAAATATCACAATTCACAAACTAACATAACTATGTTTTTACAAATGACACTTCCACTTGTTCCAAATTGGAGTGCCATGCCACGTGTGTAATGTGTTGCCACAATCTCATCCTTGAAAATAGATTCCGCACTCGTTTTCATTGGATATATTAATAAAGTGATCTTTTCTGCTTATATAAGAGGAGATGGAAAACTTTTTTATATAGATACTAAAATGACAAAACTATCTTCTGTTTATTTTGAAGCAAAGTAGACAAGAGATTGGATAAGAGACTGAGACCAAACATTGTGTTCTCATTTATTTTGGAATGAGTCCACTTGGTCAAAAGGAAATGTGTGTTTGGCAATTAGGGGATCACTGTAGCCAAAAACCAAACACACTTTAAGCTGGTGAACCTGTAGCACTGCAGCAAGCTTCCTTCTGACATAAATGGGGATCTGTCCTTTCTTCCTTTGGTAACCCTATCTTCTTTTGTGGGAGTTTTAAAGGGCTAACTATAATGAATAAAAACCTTTACCTTTTATTGAAAATATGTCATCATAGATCTCATATGAACATATGGAGTATCGATATGCAGGTGTATTTCATGATTAAAATATGCATGTGCAGGGATGCATTGGAATAAATAACTATACAGAATATCAGTATTTCCCTTTTGTCACTTTATGCAAAATTAATTTGGCATTATTCCAGGTGTTCAGCAAATTAATAACCCTGCTTTGGGGGAAGCAATAGGAGAACTAATAAACTAAAAAACCAAAGCAGTAAACATCTGGTAGTTCTCTTTAGCTGTTACTGAAACACTGGTAGTGTGACAACCTCAAAGCTCACCTTAGAGAGAAGTTTTGAAATGGTTCAGAATGTCATTTGTGTGTATTGAATTCAGGAACAACTTGTTTTCAGAAATCTTCCTGCCAAATCAGTGGAGGAGGCTTTACGTCACCGACAAGAATATGATGAGATGGTGGCAGAGGCAAAAAAACGAGGTACGTTAATGCCATAATTCTTTTTAACTGTGCAGCAAAAATACAGTAATTTCTGGCTTGGAGGTTTATAGGTACAGTAAAGAGCAACCTTGTTTAATATCTAGGTTATTCTCTGGTACATATGTGCACACAGTTTAAAACAGAACTCAATTATCAAACTGTTTTCCTATTCCACCACAGAGAATGCAACTAAGTTCAGAAGTCATTTTAACCTTTTCTTTAACTTTTAAGTAGTAACTTCAAGATTTTTTTTTTTTTTTAAACTACCTGTGTAATGTGACCAGCTAGAAACTTTCTGGTTGTCGGACTCTTTTCCCCCCTCCCCCAGCAGTGTTGCTGCAGTTGCCACTGAGAGTCAAAGTATAATAAAGCTGACTGCTTAAAGATTGTTTTTTCAGGAATTTGAGATCAATTCCAGTGTGAAGACAGATGAAGACTTTGGGTTTTTTCCAAGCAGCTGTACCTGTGTGAACCTTCCTACTCCCACTAGATCTGCTTTTTAAATTAAACATATCTATGGCATCTGGTACTGTGTCAATCTATGAACAGTTGTTGAAAGGACTTCTGTAGTGTCATGCCTAGTATTCAGGGAATAAGCTATTTTAAGAATCTGTGCTGCATGTTTTACTTGGGCTGTTGTCAGAGATTTAAGCTTCTGAACTGATTGAGCCTCTGTGGATCTGTGGCAGCTTACTCTGAAAGATATAATAAGAAATCCAAGGCATTTGACAACTCATTTCACTCTTCTCTTGTGGTGTGCATATTGTAAGGTGTGATCTGTGGTCCGTGTTCTCTAATTGCATCTTTGGAGGGTCAGCCATGTGTAGTGTTCTAGTATGTGTGCCCTGGTATTCATTAAATTAACTATTGCTACACACACAAAGCTTCAGTAAAAACTCAGTGAAGCTGGTCAGCCATATCAGTTCACTAGGGATGGCATGTTTACTCCGCTGATGTGTCTAATGCATGCATAAATGGAAAATGTCTTGCAATTTCACAGTGGCTCTCAGTGATGTCAAGATAGCCCTGCTCTGTCCTTCTTGCAGCCTTTTTAATGAGAGGCATCTACAAATGATCCTTTTTTAACAGAAGGCAGAATACTCTTCTCTTGCTCAGCATTGTAACTTTGTCTTGGATCTTTAGATCCTCTTCCCAGAAAAAATACATAATCCTTCTAGGTGGAAGTTTCAGTAAAATTCAAAGAATTTAAAAATGGATGTAGAATCGCACTTCTGAATAATAATTTTATCTATAATTATTGCTGATTAGTCTAAGTAGTAAGTAAGGTTTAGGTAGAACATAGTGTGAAATTCATTACAGGAAGAACGGTGCTGATGATGTGCTTGCTCTTTAGTCATTCTGTGTACTGCAGAAAAGAGTACTATGAGTTTTCTAGCCAGATTTTTGCTTGTCTAAATCACAGTGTATTTTAATAAATTAAAGGCAGCTTAAATTAAAAAAATGCCTGAGAAATACACCTAAAATCAGCAGAAGTAGTACCAGTTGGCTCATGTACAACTGTAATTTACCCTTGATCTCTTTCAGACATCTAAATAATTAGATATGGCTGAATTATTTACCTAATAGTTTATATAAACTAATTCAGAATTATTAATGTGTTATGCCTAACAGAAATTAAAGAAGCACATAAAAGGAAAAAAATAATGAGAGAGCGTTTCAAGCAAGAAGAGAATATCGCAAGTGCTATGGTGATTTGGGTGAATGAAATACTGCCTAACTGGGAAGGCATGTAAGTAAAGTTCTGTTGTGTAAATGAGGCAAGGCAGGCTTGTTTCTCCTCTGGAAACAGAGGAACCACATACCTGATTTTCCTTTTCCTTTCTGTTTTGTCAAGAAGTCAGGTTTTGTTGCCATGATATAGTGAGAGGTCATTACTGAGCCACATGAAAGGAGGCCGCTCACGTGTGGTGTTCCCCAGGGCTCAGTATTGGGGCCAGTTCTGTTTAACATCTTTATCAACAACCTGGATGAGGGGATTGAGAGTACCCTCAGCAAGTTTGCAGATGACACTAAGCTGCAAGGGTAGAAGTGTTGATCTGCTTGAGGGTAGGAAGGCTCTGCAGAGGGACCTGGACAGGCTGGATCGATGGGCTGTGGCCAATTGTATGAGGTTCTACAAGGCCAAGTGCTGGGTCCTGCACTTGAGTCACAACAACCCCATGCAACGCTACAGGCTTGGGGGAGAGTGGCTGGAAAGCTGCTTGGCAGAGAGGGGTCCGGGGGTACTGGTCGACAGCTGACTGAATATGAGCCAACAGTGTGCACAGGTGGCCAAGGTGGCCAACAGCATCCTGGCTTGTATCAGGAATAGCATGGCCAGCAGGAGCAGGGAAGTGATCATGCCCTTGTACTCGGCACTGGTGAGGCCGCAACTTGAATCCTGCGTTCAGTGATGGGACATTAGGAAAAATCTCTTATCTGAAAGGGTTGTCAGGTTCTGGAATGGGCTGCCCAGGGAAGTGGTCAAGTCCCCATCCCTGGAGGTTTTTAAATGATGGATAGATGAGGTGCTTAGAGACATGGTTTAGTATTGGACAGGTACGGTTGTACTCAGTCTTAAAGGTCTTTTCCAACCAAGTGATTCTATGAAATGTGCTTTCTGAGAGCTTAATGTTTTGCATTTTTTTTAATGGGTCTTAAGCATAAGCAGAGATTCTTGAATATTGATTTGGGAAATAGTACATTACCTTGCTTGTAAGTTGCCCAACGATTTTAGAAAACAAGATGTGTAATATGTGCCTTTTGTTTTGTTTTTTTTTTTTCCCCCGCTTCCCTATTCTAGGCGTGCTACCCGAAGAGTTCGAGAGCTGTGGTGGCAGGGATTACCCCCAAGTGTACGTGGGAAGGTTTGGAGTCTCGCTGTGGGAAATGAATTAAATATCACTCCTGGTATGCCTTAATTTTGCATTAAAATGTTATCCATTGTTGGTCATTTTCAAAGAAAAAGTTAAAGTTTTGTTAAAAAATATAAATCAGGGTGTATTTGCTTTTTGCAGAACTGTATTTCACAACCTTAGGAACAGGTGTTTTTTATAATTAGATGTCATAGCCTGGTAAATTATGGCAGCAAGGTTCAAAAGCTGCTTACGAAAGCATTTTAGTCATACAAGAAGGTTGCACTCCCTGCTCCCCCCCATTATTTTTATGTTTAAAATTGAGAACTTGTACCTTTGCTTTGCTTTATTTCATAACTAATGATTTTGACCAACTGGAAGTGTTCTAAGCCATTCACAAAAATAAAAATCTGGATTATTCAAGACATTATTTCCCTCTTGTGATTTGCATGTTCACCACAGAGGAAAGCATAATACAGTGCACACTATACAACTGCATATAGTGGTATTCCAGTGGTTAGTGGTAACCATCTAGTAGATTCTTCCGGTGCCCAGTGGTTAAGATGAAACCAAGCAACAAAACCGAAGCCAAGAATACTTAGCACTTTTGTTTTGGATGAATGCTTTTCTTACTTACCTCTTCCTTTTTTGTTGTTGTTGGTTTTGTTTGGTTTTCTTGCAGAACTTTATGAAATCTTCTTGTCAAGAGCTAAGGAACGATGGAAAAGCTTCAGTGAGACAAGTTCTGAGAATGACATAGAAGGTGAGATCTCCTGAATGCTGGACAGCCTCCTGTTCACTTTTACAAACCCAGAAAGTCTCACAAGTTCAGCTGCAATTGCAGGATTCAGAAAACTTGTTAAAAGTGCTCAGTCATTCCCTACTTAGATGTTTGCTTTCTTATAACAAGTCAGTGAGTGAGGGGCTTAACAGTATTTACTTATCAATCAAAGATGCATTAAAATATTGCATATGCTAGTTCACTTTCAAATTAATGTGTTTCCTTCTGAATTTCTGAAATAGCAGGACTAAGCTCTCATGAAAATTGTAGATGAAATACAAAAAGGAGAAATGGGAAACTAAATGACAGTATGTGCTGTTGCTTAGCTCTGCTTAGATGGTTCTTACATTGGTATCCCTTCCACAATTTTGAGAAAGAAATTTTTTTTGATTGTGGAACTTAAAGGTGAAGAATATACATTACACATTTCGGATCCCACTTGGTTTTCCTCAGATGCTCAGGTGGCCTTTTCTTCCTAATCTATTAAGCGGGGACGTTAGCACACTCGTATGTATAATGGAGTTTTATCCCTGGCATATTGCTGTCTCCTGTGGCTTTTCTCCCTGTTAAAAATAGCATCAATGATGTTTTTAATGGTGGATATAACCTTGTTATTAACTGTTTGTGCTGTTAACAGTTACTTTTAAAAATGCTGTCTTATGTGTTATTGTCAGTACCAGCTGCTATGAAATAACTTTTTTTTTTTTGAGTTGGTCATTTTTTTGGGAAAGAAAATGCCATTGTGATGCAAGAAGTAATTTTTTTTTCTTTTTTTGCATTTGCTGTTGCCTGTCCTGACTAATTGGCTACTTTGACTGTAAATTATTTGGGTCATCTTTAGGCTACCTCTGTGACTCATCTGAAATTTGTATTAAAAAAAATTGTGTGTACATGATGGTAAAATGCTTATCCTTGGAAAACAGGCTTGCAATGCCCCTTGGTTTGTGGGGTGGGAGGTTGTTATGTTGTGGGGGTGTGGGCTGAGTATGGAGGAAGGCTTAGGTTATTTGTTTATTTTGGAAAGGTCATAGTTCTGGACGGGAATGAAAGGGGGAAGGGTCCAATTTGGTTGTGTCACATGTTCTGGGAAATGTAGTGATAAGGGAAAACTCAGAGTAATGGGGTTTTTTCATCTCTAGTTGGAAAGCAAGCCAGCCCACTGTGCTTATTGCTAATCTTTGGGAACAAATTCTGGAAGATCAGTTATTTTAAGCTCATTTAACATATTTGAGTAGTTCTGAAGGTTTTTCCTGTTCAAATATCTTTGACACTTTATTTTGGCAAATAAAGATTAAAGCACGAAAAGTATCTTTTTGTGTCTTGAAGACAAGACATTAATGAAAAGATGTGTTATCTGTCAGATGTGTTCAAAAGACCCCCAGTGACTTCTCTTTTAGAGTTGAACTGAATTTCTCATATAAATGCAGAGTTTCTTATGCTCTATACCATAGATTATAATCTTCCTTGGGAATACTCTAAATGGATATTGTCCCAAATGAAATTATCCCAAATTAACCAATATAATACCTGTTCCTTTTGAAAGAGAAAAGAGGGATTAAGCAGCAGTTCTTGAACTCTTTATTTTAGATTGTGTATGTTCTTTCTCTGTTATAATTGCCTTCTTTCTCCCAAATTCCCCTAACGCAGCCTGCAGCAGTCCCACTCACTCCTGAATGCAACTATTTTAGTTTTAGGAGGACTGGAAGAAAATGCTGCCTTGCAGGCTTCAGGAGAGCAGGTTCTGTTTAACCTATTCATCAAATTCTGCAATCTCCCACCTCCCAGATGACTCTTGACTGATTTAAGCCTTCTGAAAGAACCTTTTCCCCAAGTGCCATGTGCATTTTTTCCTCGCTGTCACTAGTATGTGCATCGTGTCCCTATGTAGAGGACAGGGTAGAGATAACTCAAGGGCCAGCTGAATTTCTTCTGGAGATTCCTGAGTGAACATTGCCTTCTTTCCTGCCATTTGAGGAATGCCACTCCTAAGGATGCAAAAAAAATCGGAGCCAAATGAGAGCTAATGAGAGCTCCAAAGTAATGTAACTTCTGCAGATCATAACCGTGTGGTCAGTTCTGGAAACTTCAGTGAGGTTTCTCTGTATATTTTAGTTACCTTCAGTAAAAGTGGGACATGAGAAAAACATGACTTCAAAAGTAATATGCTTGACTTTGCAGGTGAAGAAGTGCTGGCTTCTTGTGATAATGATATAATTCATCTTTCTCTTTTAGTGTACAGAGTGTATTTCAATCCTCCTGGCTGAAAGGAAGCCACCAAATGAGCTGATTAGGAATTAAAAATCTGAAAAGTGAGATCCCACTGGATCATGTTTAGATCAAGAGTAGCAGTCTCACTCTGTGCTCTTGCACAGACTCAGTAACTGAAGTCCCAGTAGAAGATAAGAAAGAAAACAGGGGTTTGAGGACTGGGCTGGGCAAAGTTCAAATTCTAGGCCAGCCTGGGCCTGGATAGTGTTATACAGAAGTAAAAGGTAACCTGTTGGGTTTAAGTCTGAATGGCGTAAAGGTGGATGACTTGAAAAAGAATGAGTAGACAGGTAGTAATTACTGACAGTTTCCCTCACTTTTTGGAGTTGATGACTTATACCAGGTATCAGTGGACAGTTTTAGCTCTTGGAGTATAGCAATGTAGAAGTGTGCACTCCAAGAATTAGAACTAGGTAACTTTTCTCCTTAGATCCTAAAAGTCTTTATGTGCCTATGGCAGTTTTATTCTGGTCTGTGGAATTTATCTATCAGTTTTAGTAAGTGTTGGTTTTGCTTGCAGATGCAGGTGCATCTGTTGCTGATCGTGAGGCCAGTCTGGAGCTAATTAAGTTGGATATATCACGCACATTTCCATCCCTGTATATTTTCCAGAAGGTGAGATTTTGGTAACTTTAGTTACGACAACTTTAAACTTCTGAATAGTTAAACAAGAAAAGAAACCTAGCTGGTTAAATACGGAATAGTTTTTAGAAGTTCTCTGTATAAAACAACAAAAGTAAAATTAGTTTTTTACATACAGCAGCAAATAGGCTTTTTTTTTTTTATGAGAATAAAGTAGGGACACTTAATGATGGACTATAAGGCTTTTTCTACTGGAAAAACCTATTAATGTTTATGAAACTACATGCAAAAATGAGAATATTCTGATTGCTTCTACGGAAATCTTGCTGAGTTTTAGTACAGGCTTTATGATTTTTATATAGAGATATGTGCATACATATGTATATTAAATAGCATGTACTGTTGTAATACAATAACTTGTGTTACTAAGAATTAAAACATCCACTGTCTCTGAAAAGGAAAAAATAACCCTGGATGTCTACCAGATATCCTCATTTTCCATTATGTACTGATTTCCACCAAATTATTTCATAGGATTATTTGTCTGTTACTTCAGTATCTCAAAAGCATACATGATAATGCTTAGAGTAGAAACTGGTATTATTTTAGATGTGAACAAAGCAATAATTCACTGTCTCGCATCTTAAAATACTGGTTTCTTACTTTCCTATACATAACAGTGATTTTGAAAAAAGCCTTTTTTTTTTTTTTTTTTTTTTTCAAGTGATTTTGAAAAAAGCCTTTTTTCTTTTTTTTTTTCCTCCTCCTCCCTCCCCTTGTATTAGGGTGGTCCTTATCATGATCTCCTGCATAGTGTTTTAGGAGCATATACATGTTACAGACCAGATGTGGGATATGTAAGTATTTGCTGTAAAGTGTTTATAACATGGTAGATAAGCTTAAGATGTCATGTATTAGAGTGTATTTAATAAGTAGGTTATCTAAACTTTATGCTACTAGCCCTTAAAAAATAATTCAAATTTGGCATTTACTCATTTCATAGCAGGTACAACAACGGTAATTTTTAGGGATAATTAAATAGCTGAAAATTTACTGAATGTTAAGGATGGCTTGCATGGAAAATTTTAAATTGTTGCATTCAGAAGGCATGACAGTTCTAACAGGAAAAACCCAGAACGCTAGCAGACTTCCAGCGAGCACTTAACCCGTTCTGTCCTACTGTTGGTCCCACTGCTGCCTTTTCCATAGTGAAACTCTCTGCTTCACTACCGCACATCCTAAAATCCAGAAACTCCTTATTGGTGTCTTGATGTCACAGATTAATTGCTCTGAGTTCAGTGAAGATAAGATTGTTTGTAGCAACCACTACTGTGTTTAAAAAAAGCCCAAACAAACAAAACAACAAAAGCCAACCAACCAAACCCCAAAGTTCATAAAACAACTGGCAAAAAGCCCACAAAGAAACCAACTAAACCTAACATCTTCCTGAATTGTGTCAGAAGTAATTAAGTAACAAACAGATGCTTTTTTTCTTCTTCCTTTGTTCCAGGCAGTAGATAGGAACACCTTTCACAAGCTCTAATTGATTCTGAGCTAAAAAGAACTTGAGTTTTAAGTCTGATCCATGTTATTTAGCACAGGGTGTGTTTTCCTTTCCAAATCAGACATGCTTGGGACTCTGCATCAGTATCTAGTTGGTTTTTTCATGTTCAAATGTTTTTAGCCCTCAATTCTGTCATCTGTGACCTCATTTTTGGAGACCCTCCCATACTCTCTAAGTGAGATTACAAATTCTGCAGGTTCTGAGACTGCTTGTTCCCAGGGTGGAGTTTTAAAAGGCAAATAAGTAATTTTTTGTGGATAGGTCTTCTCTTTTTTCATTAGGAACACAGCTAGCCTGGATGTTGATAATCATAATTATTTTTTTTTAATGTTAATATGGCAGTAAATTTAGCGTAATCTTATTTCCACACCCATCTAACCCACAAAAATGGAAAGCTGAGGGACTCATTTTTATGCATATCAATGCTTTTTTCCCTAGTTGGTTAAAATACTGAGTGCATTTTTTAAATGAGGAGGAGGCAGCATAAATGTCTAGAAACAGCAAAATAATCATCTTTGCAGTTGAAATTGGTAAAATTATTTTTTATAATATGAGTAATCAGTATTTTTTATAATAATGAATATTCAGATCATCAGTTAACAACTACAAGAATAATGCTCTCACTTTTATTGCAGACTAAAGTGTTTTTGAGAGAGTAATCATGGAAAAATGTAAACTTGCATTGTAGCTAACCGCTTAAAAGTAATTATATGTATGTGAATAAATACTGCTTGCCAAGTGGAAAGATACGTATTGACTGTTCTGAAACAGAATTTTGTCTCGATTCCAACATATCTGTCTGAGTCTAAACTGTCCCATATGTGCGATTTTTCTCCATGTCTGCTTTTCCCATAGCTTAACAATGAACTTAAGGCCAAATTTTGTCTCATATGAGCGCTGCGTCCAGCCTGTGTGGTTTTAACTTTCTTGCATTCCAAGTCCCAAGGACTTGTGATCATGAGACCTCCCAGAACGTCCATCGAGCACTTAAAACTGACATCTGAAGAAACACTTTGTGTCTTGCTGAAATCAAATTGACTGCATGCATAAAAAATATTTATCCGTATTGTTTTTGTCCATCTGGAAATGTTATGCAATGGTATTTGATATATTGCAGACTGTAAATATTTGCATTTCCAAAGATACAAGATGTACTGAACCTACTCACCTATATTTGCCCAATGCTTTTCCCACTTGAAGGTACAAGGGATGTCCTTCATTGCTGCTGTGCTGATTCTCAATCTGGAAGAGGCAGATGCTTTCATTGCCTTTGCTAACCTTCTAAACAAGCCATGCCAGCTGGCCTTTTTCCGTGTGGATCACAGCATGGTATGCACAGAGTTTTCTGGTTTTGAACCATAACATCATTTTGACTAGAGGCATAGGTGATTTATTGATTACTTCCTTTTGTCCTATTCAAATAATGGAGAACCTTAAACTGAGATTACAGAACTGAGAATACCAGATACTAATTCCTAGAACACATCCTACTGTTTTGATTTTTTCCCCTAGAAACACTTAATCGTTGTACTTACCCTAAGAAGTCACATTGTGCTATGTTGACATCCTCAATTCCTAGTGGGGTTTGTGTTATTTTACAACTAAACTTTCTTTTGATGACTGCTTATGAGGTGCTTTGCTTGCTGTCTCTACAGATGCTGAAATACTTTGCAGCCTTTGAAGTGTTCTTTGAAGAAAATCTTCCCAAATTGTTTCTTCATTTCAAATCATACAGTCTTACTCCAGACATATATTTGATAGACTGGTGAGTTCAGAGAACATAGCAAACCTAACCTTACAACCGTTAGAACATTTTCCATTTTGCTATAGGTTTTTCAGCAAGAGAAATACAGCATAAAAAAAGCATTCAGTAGCTGTTCGTATACCTCAGCTTCCTAGGTTTTGTGAAATTGTGGTGAACTGTTTTGTGCAACCGCAGTTCCTCTGGCAAGATTCAAATGACTGGGATTAGGAGTGAGATCTATTCAGATAGAAAAGGAGAGACACAAAGTCCTGTGTCTCTCCTTTTGTTGCTGCAGGTATGAGTCAGCTATGTGTAACATAAGTAGAGGAGAGGAGGCTACTACCTCCATAGTTGACTTATGAATGATTGTAAGTAACTTGATGAAATTAATGTCATCAGCTACTGAGGAAAGTATGAATATAGGAATATAGACTTCAAAGCAGGAGGAGGATGAAATTTAGACCCTGGCTTGGGAAGAGATGAACTTGGAAATACAGTGAACATTTTGAAGTAATGAACGTTCTAAAGCAGAGAGTACCAAACTACGTGATGTGCCTGTAATGGCAGACAGTAATACAAGCGTCCTTGAAGTGTGTGTAGTGCTATGGAATGTCTATTCGTAAGTGTGTGTGGATAAGGATGTGCTTCATATAGGATTATTATATGGGTTAGAAGTTTCTAATAGAGTAAATTGAATTGGGTAGAATTAAATAATATAAAAATGTCGTGTCATCTGAGTACTTGCTATCAGATGCAGCTTATCAGTAAGCAGTAGGTCTCAAGCAGGAGCAGGTTACACAATAGCAGCGTTGAGTCAGGACCGTGCTGCAGTTTAGGCAGAGAGTTTAGGCAGATCCAGAGAGGTATATATGTTGCGGAAATAGTGCTGCTGTACAAAGAATTGGAATATTCTGCTCCCAGTTACCTGTGAGAAAAGAAGTTTGTTATTCCTGCACATGTTCCAAAGATGGCCCTGAGATAGAGAGCTCCTCTTATAAAGAGAGAGTAGAAGAGGTGGTGGTAGTCTGTGGTAAGCAGTGTTCTGAGGTTCCTGAACCACTTCCCAATAGGAATACTGGGGAAACAGAGATCACTGTACTTTGTATTGAAGGAACCACTACAAATTTATGGGAGGGGTTTTACAATATGGTACATGCAGCAGACTGAACTCTCTGCCCATGTATAATGAATGCTTTTTTAAAAATAAATTCTGCAATAAGAAATGCAAGTGGACTCTTCCCAGTAAGACTGGAACAGCAACTGCCTTTTAGATCTTGGTGATTTTTTTAAATGTGAACAGAAATTCAAATTGTATCATGGAAATGTAGTTACTGAATTCTCATTTGTACGTTGGTGGGATGTAGCTTTCTATTGAGATGATTTGTGGCTTTAGATTTAGTTTAGAAAACAAATGATGAACAGAGCTGTTAAACTGTATGGCTTAAAGAATGGGAAGGGTTACGTTATATTACGTTATTTGTGTATTGTACCCTGTTTGAGTGTAATGATGTCTGTAACTTCTCTAGCCAGAGCTTCTGAAGGAGGTGGCTTTCAAATGGAGGATTTCCTGTAGCATCAAGAGAGATGGGTTTCAGAGTAGGAGTTCTGACTTTAAAGGCTGGAGTCTTGTGGATCTTTGAAATACGGAAAAAAAAAGAACATATGAAATTTGTCATCTGTTCAGTCTCAGCTAATGTAACTGAGATTTAAAGGAGGTTGTGTTTTCATCTTTCTGAAACAGGTTAAAGTTATAACTCTGCCTTTTTTTTCTCGATTGTAGGATTTTTACACTCTACAGCAAGTCATTACCACTTGATTTGGCCTGTCGTGTCTGGGATGTTTTCTGTAGAGATGGAGAAGAATTTTTGTTTAGGACAGGGTTAGGAATCCTTCGGTTATATGAAGATATTCTCCTACAGATGGACTTTATTCATATAGCACAGTTTCTAACAAAACTTCCAGAAGACATTACATCAGAAAAGCTTTTTAGCTGTATTGCAGCTATTCAGATGCAGAATAGTAACAAAAAATGGGCACAGGTGAGTTTCTTGGATGCGTATACGTATTTCAAAACAGACATGTCAGCTCGTTGGGCATATATAGGGCAATTCCCTTAAGGACTACTTTATGCTGCATGTCTGACTTCTGAGCAATGGGCACTTCCTTTCTAGTGCCTCATTCTAGAAATTAAATCTCCATGCTAATATCTTGGTGGTTAATACTGATCTTTGTCATAAGACTGGATTTTTATATTAATTTAATAACTTGATTTTCCAGGTGTTTGCCTCACTGATGAAGGACAACAAGGAAGGGGACAAGAACCACAGCCCAGCACTGAAAAGCTAATTGTGGTAATGTTGAGGTCAGTCGAAAATGCGGAAAACCACTTGATGACACAGGAGTTTTCACATCGCTTCTATGTGGAAAAGCACTATAGAAAATGTGAAAATGAGACTGAAAACCAACACAGCTCTCAGTGGAGTAACGAACTGACAAAATCTTCACCCTTTTGCCAGTATTAGCTTTTGTCGTGGGAAGATTTGTTTTCACACAGAATACTAAAACCTATGAAACTGAGAAGCGGGGGAGTTCATATTTAATACTTTAAAAGAATCAGCTGAATGCAATAAACATTTGTAATAACTTCTGTTGGTACTTTAAAAAAAAATTTTGAGGCATAACTTTTTTTACAAATACCACAAAGGCACTTTTTGGGGGGGATGAGGGAAATGCTAAATCTTGAGGCCCCAAAACTGCTATCCAAACCAAATGCTTTGGTACAAATATTACCTCCAAAATTAACCATTTGAAAGTATTGAGGACCAAATAAGGTTGTTTGGTATGTTTATGTGCAAGATGGTTAAAATTTGGGAAGGGGTATTGTCTTATTTACTTGTTCTTTTTTTTTTTTTTTAAGTTGCAGCTTCATTCTTCGGTCCGGGCAAATGTAATTAACTCAGGAACTGTGGAAGTATTGTGCCCAAACCTGTTAGAGCAAAAATCGTGTGAATTTTAAACAGTGGTAAGATCAGGGCTATTATTTTCAGTGTGTAGAGCTTTCAAAGTGAGTGGTGTTAAGCATTTGTTTTGGTGTATTGGTTGTGCAGCTTATTAAAAATGGAGTGGGTATTCTGTGAAAGGGTTTTGCCACCAGAAGTTTTATTTTGTCGAGCCATCTCCAACTAAGAAATACTTGTATGTAATGGTGAACACTAGGAACTGACAAAGCTATCTGCAGACTTTGTCTTGTCAAAGGAGCAGCCACGTTTAACACTTTGGAATAATGCAGCCACAGAATAGATTTTGAACCTGTCTTTTATTAGTGTGCAATACTGAAATCCAAAAAGCATCTGGTTTAGTGATACTTAATTTTTTAACATCTTCTAACTGTGAGACATAAGGTCATACTGTATGTGTCACGGCAGATATTTTCAAACACTTCCTATTCTCGAAGATGCTGTACAACAACTTGTGGTTGTAGGGGATGGAAACTTAAAATGGATAGCACTGCAGGTGCGGAACATTTGTGCTCTCTTGGTCCATTTTTGCTAATATTTAATGTAAATAAATTCCTTACATGTGGGTTTTTGTAACTGGTCCCTCTGTGGAAATCAAGTCAAAATTACCATTATGTATTTTTAAGTGCAGGAGGCTTCCGGTCGTCTGGTGTTTAAAAGCAGAGTCTACATAATTGGGGTAAAGAATTAGTGTGGTGTAACTTACATTGCTATCTGGTTTAAAAACTACATATATACTACTCCTAACATTACAATTTGAAATTTAAGTGTCAGGCTTTTCTTAACTTATGTATTCACTACTTTAATTGGATCCAATTTGTCTTATATTTTTGTGTTATCTTGTACAGTTTTCTTACTTTTCAACTATAAATCTGTATATAACTGTAAATAGAAGGATCAAGCCTTCCTTTAAGACCACTAGTAACGATTCCTGTGTAAATAAAACTTACAGCAGAGCTGTGGTGTGGTGCTCTTCCCTTCCCCTCTAACTTGGTGCGAAGCAGGGCCAGAGGTCTCTTACCGCCGAAAATCTTACCTGGTTACCGCAGGAACTAACCAACCACGCTTTGTCACCGCAGGGACTAACCAAGAGATGTCACCTGCATCTCTTGCCGGCCTGAGGCGCGGCGGTGCGGGGCAGCCTTCGTACCCGTTGAGCTTGGCGGGGGGCTGCG